ATCACCGCCACCCCAGGCAGCTGCCGCTTGGTACCGAGCGGGAAGCGGGGACGGCCCGCCTGTGTGAGGGCCTGTGAGGGCTGGTCCGAACCGCCGGGCCGCCTCAGGGAACAACCCCGCCAAAACCCGCATCCATCCAAGTAATGTTCGTTAGCGGGGCCCTTGGCATGGGGAAGGCACAAAGCATGGTGTGAATCCTGAGCATCCCCTGCCCTCGCACACTTGAAAGTTAACAGAGTCGGACAGGGCGGCGCAGGGTCGAGTCGGCGAGGCGAAGCCAAGCCCTGTGCCAAGGAAGCCTCCAATGGCACCAACAGACATGCCAGGGCCCGGCCCAGCCCCACGCGGCGCAGCTTTCGGCCTAAACTTAAGATGCGTGAAGCAGCGTCAACGTTAACTCCCTGGCGATTTTTCCATCTAGGGGTATATTGGTGAAATAAGAGAAAAGTTGAAGCGAGAAAGGGGAGGTATCGGCTGCCAGCAGTGACGGCATGGCAGCGGCAGGACGGGGGATTCGTTCCCCAGCACCCCCCTCCAGGTCACCGCAGGCTGGAAGCAGTGTTTATTCTCATTTTTAAATTTAAAATTTAAAGTACATTTCCAAACAGCACTGAGGGGGTTGTGGTGTTTCAAACGTTTGACCCTTTTTTTTTTTTTTTGTGGAAGAAAAGCACACACGCGCTTATTTCTGTATCCGCTGAGGTGCAAGCGTTGCTCAGCAGGGCCTTCGCATCGGGGTAGGAGCAAAGGTCTTTGGCTGCTGAGAAATACCTGCCTCTGGTACAGGGACAAAAGAAAGTCTGACCGAGTAGAGAAAAAGGGAGGAAGAAGAACATTTTATTGAACTCTCCATCCAGGAGGGAAAGCACTACCTGCCGATTTGAGTTTTCATTCACAATTTATTTTTTATTGAGTGCTGCAGTCAGAATCTCCTTCGTACTCGGTTTCTGTTTTCCTCTCTAAGCCAGTCTAACCCAAAATGAGTACTTTCCCAGTTTGTGAGTTTACAACAGAAAGTTGGACTGTGGCATTAGTGTTTCCTTTTAAGTCCACTGTGAGACTCTCAAAGTGAGCTGATGTAACATCCTCCTCCTCCTCTATCCCCCTCTTTACTGTAAGCCTCTAACATAAATCACACACAGCGCTCTCCTTCTTAGTCCTAATTGCAGCTTCACAGTAAAACCAAGTGGCATGCTTCAAACTGTAATCTGGAAAGTGAACAAAGAGAAACCACAACTCCCTGGAGTTAGACACAAACCCACAGTGAACAGCAGCTACGGCATTAAGGCTTTTGTAAATGCATGTTGAGAGGCAGCAGGTAGGTTCTCGTTCTATAAAAAAGCAAGACCAGAAGACAAGCAGCAGCAGCCCCAGAGCCAGTACTCTGGCTGGAGTACAGTATTTTTCCACCACAGCTGTTTATCAGAGCTGGGGAAGTCATGCTTCTGTTAAGTTCCTGGAGCACTTGGGGCTGTGACACGCCAGTAACTTTTCTCTGGGTTAATAAAGACTCTTCTGTACTTGCTTAAAGTCTTGAGAGAGCTGAAGGCCAGCATACTCATCTCCTGTGTGGCAGAAGAATGGAAACCGGACTGGAACTTCCTCAATGCCTCTGTCCCGTCCTAACTTTTCCTCACCAGCACCCCATGGGACCAGCTTCCCCTGCACAGGGCAGAGTACAATTTATCTGAAAGTTTCCTTAGCCCCAGCCCAGAAGTAAGTGCAGTCCTTCCTGCACCTTCCACTCTTCCCACAGAGACATGTTTCTATATATCCTGATCTTCCTCCTCTCCCTTCACTGAACCACCACTCTTCAGGGTGACTGTTCAAAGGAAAGGTGTAATGAGTGGGGAACACCAGGACGTACTTCTGGCACCACAGAAGTCAGCCAAGACGTGCTGTGGTATTTGACTGTAGGGTGCGCCCTGCTCAGGAAACCTTCACTGTTTTCCTGTAAGCAATTCAGAAAAACCCTTAGAAAATAAAAAAATCAGAAGCAGTCACGCCTATCACAGAGAAACCAAAAACTCCCAAAACCCAACAACAATGCAGCACACCTCAATAGAAGACAGATTATGCCACTTTAAGTTCTCTGGTTAAGGTGCTGCATCAAACCACTGTCTCTTCCCTTTTCTACTCCTGAGGAAATTTGTACTGCATGGGCAGTACAACTGCTGGATGAGTATTTATGCAAACTTGTCATAAATATGTCTAGAGCTGTGAGAGCTCAAATCAGAGCAAACGCGTTGTGAAAGACTGATGAGAAATCTGTGAGACCCACAAGTTGAGTATCACTAGCTTTTATGACTTATCAAGCCTACCTACCTTTGGTGACACAGGTGTTTCCTATAGTTCTCTGCATCATCTGTGTGCAAGAAGTGCTCGATGGCTTTTTAACATGCCTATCTTTTAAGGGGAGGCAACAGAATGTCTTCTCTGGCTGAGATACACACCTCCATCATCTACTGTCTAATTCCACGTAACAGCTAAAAGCTAATGTAGAAACACTGCAAAGGACTGAATCAAGAAAGGAAAAAAATATGTTTTTTTCCCCCTCTACTTGTTTACAAATAAGGCATTTAACCTCAGATGTTGAAACAACATTCCCAGAGGGGAAGAACAGCTGGGGTAGTGTTACAAGTTCAAAGAAACTTCCTCACGCCGCTTCTGTGAATAATCCCATTATCTCTGCTATGCAATATGTTGCTTTAACCTGGCTGTTATTCATCATTTCCACTGTGACATCAGAATTCGGCACTCATTTCACAACAGCCCGCATAAAAGCAGGCGGCTGTGAAATAAATGTCTACTGCCAGCTCTGGCATGCTTGAACATCACTCCATTCTCTCCAAGCAGCCAGCCACTGGACACTCGCCGTGACCTTCCAGGGCACTCATGAGAAGTCCAGTCCCACCAAACATGGCTCATGCTCCAGTGACCAGCATGGTGTAAGACCTGGCAGCTGCAGGTGAGAGGAGACAAATCAAGAAGCATGCAAGAGCAGCTGGAAATTGCCAGACCAACGCATCTGGCTGACAGGTTTTACCATTGTGTAACTAACTGGAAATTCTTATCCAAAAAGCAACAAGACACCTTTTCTAAAAAAAAAAAATATATAATTTAAAAAATCTAAAAAAAGCATGTGATAAAAAGCATGATTCACTTTGATCAAGACATCAATGTCAAGTATTGAAGTATTACTGGCCTGGTTTGGCTCAGTAAAATACGAATTATAAGGATAAGGAACCAGGGAAAAACAAATAGCTATCAAATAGTCAAGTACAAAATTAATGTATACTTAAGCAGCAGGGTTGCCAACCTACTGAATCAATGAGATGAAGGCAGTCATACTAATTACAAAATTATTTAAAATGATACAAGGCTTTTTCAGGCTTACCTAATACAAAGTTAAACATGTCCATGCAAAACTGTTTGACGATTTAGTGATCTAAGTAATTTTGATGTGCAGAGAAACAGTGCCATTGCAGAACTGTGTGATAATTTAGGTTACAATCCAGGGAAAGCTGTGTTTTTAAAATAGTAGAATACCAGCAGCAGTAATGCTCCTGATGCTAGCCCAGCTCCTGGTTTATAGCACAACAAAGAAATATCACAACCCACCCCACCCCCCCAACCAAAACTATAATCACAGCAGTTAACTTTTGCCCGGGCAAATCGCTATGCCTGCGTGAAGTCATGCTAAAAATTACGGTGGTTGTTAAAACGTATGTGGGAGACTAAAAGCACAAAGTGCGTTACACAATTTCTGCTTAAATGTGGTGCAAGCTGCCGGACAGCCAAACTGCCCCTGAGGATTTCACTCCTCAGTAACCCAGACTACACCCCTGTCGTTAAAGAAAGATGCGCAGAGGCTGGCGATGGCGCCGGCACTTGGGCTTAGCCTGCCAGCGGTCAGGGCTAGCAGCAGGGCCCCACATCCCGCTCCCCTGGGTGCCAGTGCTGGAGGACACAAAATAAATATAAATAAATAAATGAATGAAATGCTGCCTTCTTCCCCCCAACCCCCAGCTCCGATTTCATCAGCTTTCTGTGCGTCTTTGCTTGTTAAAGATAGTGCCTGCCCTTCAGTAACACCAGACCAAAAGATGCTGGGTTTTGCTGTCAAAAGAAGGATGACTTTCCCCAGGATGTTGATCTTGTAAAGAGATTAAACATCTTAAATATCTAAAGCAAATGTAGGGGTTTTTTTCTTTGTATGCTCTTGCAAACAAATGCATTGCTACTTTGGACTTCTGCATGAAAATCAGAAAGTGAAGGGGACTAGGAACTAGCTCATTTTCACTTCATTGCATTGTCCAAACAGAGAAACATCAAAAACTACTGGGCAGCACATGGAGGACAGAAAATTAAAGTTGGCATTTTTGTGAGCTCTTTTGCTGAAAGACAGGGCAGGGCTTTGTTATGTGGCCCTTTTCTGATGTAAACCCTGCAGAAATGGCAGGCTGAATTTTGAATGTCTTCACAGCACCTTTGCCCTTCAAGGCATGGAAGGATGTAGGGAGAAGGAGAAATCCAATATGAAAGCTATGATCATAAAGTAAAAAAAAAAATAAAAATTCTTGTTCTTGAAACACAATTTACAGTTTAATCAAGCCTGAATAATGTTCTGCTGCTCAACATCCCATTTTATTAATACAAAGTCTCCTTTAGAAAAAGTCAGTATTTGTTGGAGGCACTCATCAGTACATGTGACTTCTCTGAATACAGAGTACTCTGAATGATGAATATTTTATCATATAAACAAGACTATAAAAGAAAGCACAGAAATAATCAGTGGTGATAAATAGGAAAAGGATTTACAAATAGTTTATTTTTGATTGTAGGTAAGCAATGTAGAATGTCCAGTACATCTATTTTGATATAGCATTTTTTTTGGTGGGGAAGATTTTTTAAGGTTTGTGGCTTCCGCTACTTGAAGTTTTATTTTCTTGCTCTCCTCTCCTTTGCTTTTCTTGCCCCCCAGATCACTGTAAACACAAATTTTACCAAAGTGCTGCAGTGTTTGATCTCTGCAGAGTGCCCACATCCTGGAGCTAGACCTGTGAGAGTGATTTGAGCTACTCGCAAAGATATTAGTGGTCCCAAACTGGTGATGGAAGGATGTGCCATCTCACAGCATGGATGATGCAAGATGGGATCTTGGGTGCTCAAGTCCCTTTCAACCCCTTGTACACGTGCAAGTACTGATAAGGCCAAAGAAAATGCTGGCTAAATGAATGGCTGAGCACTTGCCCTCAGCTCAGAAAGAATGGGAGGCTTCATTACAGCAATATAAAGAAAATGAATGTACATGTGACACA